GTTACATTTCTAGTTGTCACAAGAAAATTTTTAAAATCCTGATTCGCTAAAAGTGTGACCTTATTTTATTTTGAACTTTTTGATTTTTAGTCTTTTTGATAAAAGCGTGTTTTTTAAAAAGTTTTTTTTAACATTTTTTTATTTGCTCCTTTTTTGGTCGCTTCGTTTTTATTCTCAACAACAGACTTAACTTCAAGAAAAAAATGTTATTTGTTTTTTAGTCTTCGGGAAAAAAGCGTGTTTTTTAAAAAGTTTTTTTAACGTTTTTTATTTGCTACTTTTTAGTCTCAATCTTTTAATCGAATTTCGACCACAACAATTCAAATTCAACTCCACTTCTTTTCGTTCAACTTTTAATATATTCCCATTTTTTAATGGGTAATTAGTAACGACTGTCAGGATTTTTCATTCGTTTTTATAATTTAAGTCATACCTGGAAACACATAAAACTCTTCCAAAAAATGTCCTGAACTTCAATTATGTGCGTTTTCTGTGTTTTTTAAAACATTCATGAGTAAAGAACATTAAAAATCAATCGTAAAGATTTTGTGTTTATCCGTACCATTCCTATTACATAACGTGTGGATTCTTAACATAAAGATGCAAATCACATCTATATGTAACGTATTTATAACGGATTTTTCAAATTTAAATTCAATGAATGTCATTCATATGTTATGCAAAATTACGTTAAGCCGATAATAAATGGAAGTCAATTTAATTAAATTGGTGAAGTGCTATAAATATTGTAATACATTTAAAACAGCATACGTTTATGCTCAAATTATGTGTGCTAAATGCACATCACATATTGATAGTTATTTTGCATTAATTCGTAACGGACTTGTGATTAACGGTTTTTTTTGAAAATTCAAATTTTCACTTACGGATATTTATGAAAAAATTACTTGTCAATTTTTTCATCCTCCCAGAAAATCTTCTGCTTCTCCAATTATTAGTATTATTAATAATTAGTAATATTAATTAAACTATAGTGAATCATATAAATGACTTTTGGGCATTTCAAGTATAATATTTTAAACAAATAAAAATTTTATATCATTGACATTGGATTTTTTTCCCATATAAAAAAGTTTTATTAAAATTGAACTATAATTAAGTATTTGTGTGGTTCTAAAGTGTTAAAATATTGTATTGTCACCGGGAATACGTGTGTATACAAAATTTGAGCTCGATTGGAGCAATAGAAGTGGTCGAAAAATCGATTGCAAGATTTGAACGTGACATACAAAGAAACCAACAGAGCAACTCAATAAAAAGCGTGTAATAAAAATTATGATTAATTACAATGAATTATGCAAAAAAATTATATTCACATACGTGAATTGATTAATCGTTCGACTTAAATGGTAATGAAGTAATTTGAGAGTGAAAAATTGGTTAGAACAAGGAAATATGTAGACATAGTAGAGAGAATTAAAGTTCTATCGTCAATACATTTGTAAATATTGCGGTGGAGATAAAAAAGAATAGAAAGATTAGAATTATTAAGCATAGCCATATATGGAAATAAATCTTGAATGGCATTAGAAAATTCATTTGATTCTAGAAAGTGTGTTTATATTCCTCATTGTATGATTCAATGATACTTAATTTAAATTGAGAGGTATTGCTGCATAAGGCATGTTATAGTACAGCTATTCGAAACATTTGTTTGAGTTATTTAATAACTCAATAGCTATGGAAAAACTTTTTTCCATTTTCATTGTTGCTGATTCACAAGTTCGAGTATGACCAGCTGTTGCAGCACACTTAAGTAAACAGTGTGAGAGAGAGACTTATGATTTTCAAGTGTGTAATTAATAGTGATGCTGTTTTTACAGTTTTAATTCCGTAATTTGTTTTTTTCTGACAGATTGTCGTAATTCCAACCTTTTCCTGTTAACCTACAAATTTTTTACTGTTTAGATTCTAATTTCTTGGGATTTAAATTTGAGCTGAAAATATAAAATTTTCACAGATAATTATATTCAATTAAAGTAATTTCTCTTTTGATAGCTTTTTAATAATTCATGTATCATATTTGCAAACATTTTTGTTAGTTCTTGCTCAAATAGTAAAGAATTGAATAGAATTGGCCCTTCATTCTACTTTAAACACGGTTGGATTAGATGCAAGTTGCTTATTTTGCTGTTCTGTTTAAAATATATCTTCAATTGTAAGGTTGGTTTAGTATTGAAGATTATTAAGAAGTAAATGATCTATTTCTGTTAAGTATGAAAGGATATAAAGACGTGCAGACGAATTCATAATGCTCCTTTGTCTACATAGATTATACGGAAGCTGTATAGAGTCCTGATGATTTAATTATTAATTTGTAAATAGTTAAACTTTCCAGCGGTTTGAATACCATTTTATAAAAGAAATATAAGCACTCGAGCTTACAAGACAGTAGTCTATACGGACTTATGATTACTATTAGAAGAAAACTTTACTTTCATAGCAATTCCCACATTACCCAGTCTATCTTGTAAGGCTGTCAACCGCCTGCTATTATCCAAACTGCAATTAATCTCATATTCACAAATATTTCATAGAAAAATGTAATTCCAACAATGTTGCGTTGAGGAATGTGAACATCTTCACATAATAACATTCGATATTGCAATTCAGATGATTTACAATGTTGAATAACTTTGAATAATAAAAAAGAAGTGAACGAGTAACATAGATGAGCAAAGGTTGTACGTTATTACTGAATTGATGCCTGCAAAATAAAAACAGAAACAGAAAGTGTGCACAATCAATTTTTCCCATTGTGTCGAATAATGCTGATGATGCATCCGAAGGGGAGATTGAAGGTGGATATTTGCTGATGGTAAATTATGCAAAATAAAAATGAAAATTTTCAGGCAATATGAAAAGTAGAAATGTAAAGTAATTCAGCATCACGATTTTTAGCGAAAGTTTTTCAAATTTTTCTCCTTTGTTGTGGCTATAGCTTTATTCTGTATTTTTTTTATTTTCGAGTACTTAAAAACTTACAAAAAAGGGCATCGAATGAAGTTGAGTAATCTGTGACAAAAATCGCAATAAGGTAGTGCATGGAGCATAGAAGAAAGAGAGAAAATACACGGGGTACATTATGCATTTCATAAAGTACAAAATTAAACAGCTCTATCGTATCAAATGCATCTTAATGTCGACCTATGTTGTGAACGCTTGTAAAACATAAAAATATTAGCATTCCCAACTAATTTACATAAATAAAGAGAAGAAAAGAGTTACAAACAATTTCACAGTCAACCAAATCTTCAAAGTCATACAACAATAAAGGTTATGTATGGCATTGCTGCCTCATAAAGTAATAAATGAATGAATATTAGCGTGTGTATTATTTTTCTTCTCCTATAACATATGATCTTTGTGTACACAATGTAAATATGTATGTTTTATGCGCGCATTAAACTACCGCAACAGATTAGTATAAAGTAATTTATCAAATGAGCTCTTTATTGAATACTTTCTGTTTCATTATTTTCTTCTTCTCTTTTTTTTTCTTAATGACCATCCAGTAGTTATAACAACTTAACATCTTTTTCTCGCTTATTTTTCTAATGTATTGTATTATTTTCTATATCATTAAATAGCAATTCGATTTTATGACATTTGTTATTTATTTGACTTGATGATACTTAAGAGTTTATGTTGTTTTAATTCTACGATTGATGAATGAATTGCTACTTTTTGAGCTACTTACTTAGGGGCCGTTCACTTATTACGTTCGCATTTTAGGGAGGAGGGGGGGGTTTGAAAAATTGTAACAAAATGTAACATAGGGAGGGGGGGTCAAGAAGTATGTAACGTTCTAACTGTCGTCTGTCTTTTAAAAGAAAATTTCACGAAAAAAATTTGTTTACAAATTCACACCAAAAACATTTTTTTAAATTTTCCACCTTTTTAATGATAAAATAAATTATGAACGTTCAGGGGGGGGGGGGTTATGAGTTTTAACATATTGTAACAAGGGGGGAGGGGGGGTGAAAAAAGTCGTTTTTTTGCGTAATGTAATAAGTGAACGGCCCCTTATTGCAACAATTTTGCAAATCCAGATGGTTTTAAGGCAGTTAACCTCAATAATTCATCTATTTGCTGACTACTTGTTGATGCTAGTTAATTTGCTATAAATAAACACCTAATTTAATTAATTAGCTTAAAATAGTAATTTACAGACCTGATTTCAATAAAATGTAAACAAAAATAAAATCGTACCAAATGTTATAATCCAAAAAGCCGTTAAAATTAATCGAAATTAGTTCAAGAACAACCCACATAAAGACCATGACAAAAGATAATCAAGCTTAGCCGATAAATTCTTGAATTGACTAACAAAGGAAGCAAAGCTTCACATATAATCAATTGTCAGCTCATAACATGCAGTGTTAAATGACGTTAAAGCTCTCCTTGATCCCATAATAGCTGGAAATCTTTTGTAGCTTATCCACTTGTACAATAATTGTATGTCATACTTGAAATTTTCTCATCCTGTGCTGATGACGATGATGAAAGAAGAAATCTTTTTGCATCTACTTATCTCTCCATAATAGTTGGGTATAATGCAACATCGATCGTGGTTCATAGCTTGTGTGTCGTGCTGAGTGTGCACTTTTAATCAAAAGTTATTTCTATAATGAAATCGAGTGTCATAAAAATTAATTAAAAATTATGAGTCTTGAAATACAATGGAACATATGAGCATATTACGAGTGCACAATACCAAAATATGGAAAGATTCAGTCTTGAACAATAGCATGAATTATTATGTAGTTTGATTTGATTGGTTGTTGCTTTTATGCTGCAATTATGTGTACACATCGATGTGAAAGAAGATCTTTTATCCATATTTAATGTTAATATCTGTCATACCTTGATCATATCTACATACACATTTTTGTCATGACGTCATTGCGCAATTTATTAATGCTGTATATTACATAATGATTAACATATTTTCTTTTCTTTTTTCACCTTTCTTCTAGGTTCGTGATTTAGTTGAAAAGTGTACATGTCCATCACAATTTCCAATGATACGTGTATCAGAGGGAAAATATAGAATCGGTGATACAAAAGTGCTGATTTTCGTACGAGTAAGTAAAATACGATGTGTACTCAATAAGTACATAATAAATGATTTATGATTTGTATGGAAAGTAGCATAAGAAAATAAATAAAATATTTTTTTATGCTCAAAGGCTAAAAGATCATCGCATAAAGGAGGAGAAGTTTGAAAAAGCTTTTATTTATTAATGGCAAATAGAAAATTATTTAAAGACACAAATCGGTGGTTTTTATTGGGAAACTTAATTCAGGGATGCACAGTTGAAGCGCATTTTTAATCTAGAAAAGAAATTATGTTAAATTGCCGATTTCAAATGGTTTGCCAAAAATTTAAATTATAACGGTTATTATAAATTCAAATTTTCTGAAAGGGGTAGACAACTACAAGCATATAACAAAAATTTAAAATAAATTTGCCATTTCTAAGTAAGCTAGACAGATCTAGAGGATCTTCAATAGCCCATAACATCCAACACTTGACAGTCAAATTAATCCCAAGAGTCAATTCAAACACAACACCTCATTTACTATTCAAATTTGCGCTAAAACAAGCAAAATGAATTGAATTTTCTAGAGATAATTGCGGTGCGATATTGGTCAGCATGAGCTTCATATCGCTTCCATTGTTTCGCAAACTAATTTCCATTGAAAAATTGCTCTTTCTCCTTATTCCTTCTTTTTTTTGTGTACGTTCGACGAGATCGAAAGTGAAGTTGTATATCAATTGTATTAATGTAATGAGTCCTCTGAAGAATGTTGGAGCCTCCGCTTTATGTTGTCGTGCACATTTAATTCCATTTATGTTCTTATCGACTTTATAACGATCGCTGACAAAAAACAAAAAAAGAGCCAAGAAAAGTGCTACAAACGACTGTCTTTTGAGGGCGATTTCTTATAAAGGTTAAATTTACCATAATTTTCTACACGAATTTCAATTAGTAGTTGGAGACACCTGGCAAATTCATGTCGCTCAGACATCTCCGCTACATATATAGGAGAAAAGTTTTCCCTTTCTATTTACACCAATTTAATTGCCAATTGTATTATTACTTCTTTTATATGCTGTGTGCAATATCTGCTCATTTTGTGCCTTATTTTCATTTCTTTAAATGCGAATTTTCTTCTCACTGTCTTCACTAATGAGCTATAAAGCATAAAAGACACTTTTTATCGGTATTTGAAATTTATTGGCGCTATAAGTGCCACATTCGAAAGATTAAAGCTTCGATTTCATTGTCTTTTTACACATCGAGCATGTTGCTGCTGCTGCCATTTTTTTTCTATATCTCGTTCATAAGAAATTTGCGATATTGGCATAAAATGTGCAGAAACCAGGTCTCTCTTAATTAATTGCCGCTCTAGTAATTGGTAAAAAATATGTTGTCGGATCAATCGAAAAGCGGCTCTATCACGCGTTAAATCTTTGCTTAGATTATTTTCCTTGTGCCTTATTTTTTTCTTTTTCTGTCTGCTATGTTATTCTATTAGTCACTTATGTAACGTTACATACCGATACGATAGTTTATCGGTTGCTTACAACTGCTTGTGTGCAGTATTAGAATTGGGAGTGATGAAAAATTTCAATTATGTAAATGAATGGCATATTAACACGAAAATCAGCTGACGAGAGAAAACAAGATATTAAATAAGCAGATTTTTGCACGTACATACTCATTTGCTCAAATCTTCAGCTACTTTGTTGAATCCTTTCGAAATAAATGTTGTGAAGTTTGAAGCTTCAAATGAAATTCTTGTCTTTATTCAAATTTGATTTCCTTGATCATTAAGCTTTACTACAAAATTCTTCAGCAGAGACCACATACAGTCCAACAAGCAAAAAGTGAAAACAAACTTCATATCGATCTTGTTTTACAAATCATTTGCATCATGTCATACACTCTTTCAGATTTTGAACAAAAGATTCGATTGCATAATGTTCTCGATAAAGTTTTCAAGATGAAAGCAGTTAATGTTGGCATTGTTTACTAAACAACATGCAATTTAGTTCAAAGTAGTTTTCGATTATTTTTGAATTGAGCATATAGATCAAAATTATTATTTATTTTACAACAAGAGAAACTTTTTTCTTCATATTTTTTTTTTAAATAAAACATGCATTTCCAAGCAATCGATTGCAAACATGTCGAGATGATTCAATTGAGGCTTAAGGGCGCCAAACTATCGAGAATATATAGATTTTTCATTTTATTTATTTTCTAAGCATTATTCCTTATTTGGACTTAATAATAAGTATCTATTGCATTATTATTACTAATACCTTTTGTTATTCCACATTTTACTTCAATTTAAAGCACTTTTTCTTTCTATGAGTTTGGTTAAGTTTGACTCATACTTCAATAATAGATTTTTAATGAATTTCATTACATACACTCATAGAAAAAAAGTAACCATAATATTTGTTATATGTTTGTTAAACTAGTTTAACAAATTATTGATTAAGTTTACATGGGTAAAAAAAATTTCAACCAAACTATTTGTTAAAAATTTTACAATTGAGTTTGTTAAATCAACAAATTTATTTGTTAATAATTGATTTAATTAAATTTTAATTTTTGTATTCAAAACTCTTGTTTGATTAATTTCAAACGATTCCCATTAATTTATTGCGTTATTTTTAATGAGAAAACTGCTTTAAATTGAATTTTGTTGATTTTGTTTAACAAATTAATTTGTTAATTTTAACAAAACATTTGTTACAATGTTTTTATTTGTAATTTGTTTTGGAAAATAATGATTTACAAACCAAATCGTAATTTAAAAATTAAATTTGTTCATTTTTTTAAGTCCTACATTTCTATTTTATTATTCATAAATTAATTTTAAAATTTGGATATATTTTTTAAAGAATTATTTATATTGGTTCTGAATCAAATTTTATAAGTAAAAGTTTACAAGCAGCGGACTAGCGGATCATCAACAGGAATTCGGAAGTTAAGCAACCACGGAAACATTTTAAAATAAGATGGGTGACCAAATTAACAATTTTCTGGTTAATATTAACCGAAAATTTGTTATTTTTTTCTGTAAAAAAAAATTTTAACAAAAAGTTTGTTAAATTAACAATTTTTATAGTTAACAATTCAACCTTACAAATAATTTGGTTAAATTTAACAAATAAGTTCGTAAACACTATTTTAACGAATTGTTTGTTAACATTTTCCATACAAGTTACAAACATTTTGTTACTTTTTTTCTATGAGTGTATGATTAAGTCTGAAGAGTGTGCCAATGGTTAACTAGTTGACCTTATTTGGAATTTATTGGAAAATGATTCATCGGAAACCAGGAACTTAAAAGCTATTATAAGCCCTTGAGAGAATGAAGAGGGGTAGTCAACTATGTGAATTATGAGGGGCTCTTATTTTTTGTAGTGTTTGAAATTTCCCATCATGTTGTTGCCACCTCAAGTAGATTCACAAAGTGTAGTCTGATGATCCGTTGGCTTACTGCTCACATAAAGTCACTAAATTTTGAAACTTTATTTACTTATTTTTATATTTTTATGGTCATGATGTCTATTTATTTATGGTAAAATGCAGTATCTCGGAAAATGTCTATAATTGTATGAAGAATGCTTCAAAAACCTTCCTTGAAAGTAGATTTAAAGAAAAAAGAGAGGAGGAAAATTGTTTACTTTTCATGAGGCAACGACTAACCTTTAAAAATAACAAAAATAGATTTTTAAATCAAATTCGTTCTGCCGTCAAAAGCTATTGAGAAAATGCCTTATTAAGTATATACATTTATGTACAAGAGAAATTTCATCTTCTTTTACAGATTTTACGCTCTCACGTAATGGTCCGTGTCGGTGGTGGCTGGGACACGTTGTCACATTATTTAGATAAGCATGATCCATGCCGTTGTCGAGCACAGCATCGTTCATCAGTAGCAGCAAAGCTTATTACTCGCACAAATCAACAGAATGGTATTGAATTGCATAAAGCACAAGTTGTGTATGAAAGGTGAGTCATATGAGTATGCTTAAATTGGACAATAGAAATATTAAAAGAATTACAAAACAGAAGTAAAAAAGACTTTGAAAAAGATTAGCATGAATAAATTGCGTAAAAAATGCTAATACGAAACTAATTGATTGCACAAAGAAGCTTAATCGGCAGTTCATAGTATTTTTGCATTAATTCCGTCATATTTTTTCTCTCTCCTTTTCTTCTACAACAATTTGCTTGCCATTGAGCGATAAAATAACTTATTTTGAATTTGTTGCGCACACGCGAAACGAAAAAATCACAAAATTGAATGATAAAATGTCGCAATTAAAAGCTTAAATTGACAGAAATGCAAAAATACAATTTGAATGAAATTAGGAGCGAAAACAAATTAACTGAAACAAATTAATAACATTATTATTGCTTTATTTGTCATTTGTTCATTATTTTGCTTTGTGTTCATGCTTAACCAGCTGAAAAGTCTCTTGAAAGAATTGTACATTTAGTGAATAGAGCGCAGTTAATACCAGATATCATTCAGTATTGTTTTTGAAATTTTAACACATTTTTCAAATTTAAATGAAGTAATTGAATGACAAGTAGCATTTTGCCTAGTTTCTTACCTTGCAACCTTTCGAAAACAACAGCACTTTTAAATTAAATTTAGATTTTCTACGGAATCACTTAAAAGTTAAGCTTCAAATCAATTACTGGGAGTCCTCGATTTGAGTAGGTGTTTTGTTCCAAAAAAATCCTATTCAAATCGAATCTACTCAAATCGAATTATTTACTTTTTGTATGAAAAATGTCCGTTACAAAATTTTTTTTAAATTTTCTATTCATTAATTCTTGTTACTCAAATCGAATCTATTCAAATCGAATCTACTCAAATCGAGGACCCCAGTACAATGAAAGTATTATTACAATTTATTATTTTTATTATTACAAGTTAAGTGCCTTGCTGGTCGAATAGGTAAGGCGCTTGGCTCAAAATTGGGATGGTAACTCGAAGGTCGTCGGTTCGAATCCAGCCATTTCCAAATTTGTTCTTTTTCGGAAGTTTAGATACTTCGACTGCTTAATGTAGGAGATCAAGCAATAATTGGGCATTTGGGCAACGTTGGATTAAGGAACGGGTCAGGAACTTGAAGTGTAGCGGGAGAAATAGGAACGAGAGCTTGAAGATTACCCACGAATGGAATATTGTTAGAACGGACCTGAAAAGTATCACGTCACGCCTACAGAAGATCGAAACGAGAGCCTTAGTTTATTTAGAACCTAGATTTGAAGATTAGAAGTTTGATCCTACATAGTATTAATTCATATGTATACAAATACAAAAGTGTAAAATGTGAATTATTACCGGACAGTATGTCGTCAATAAATGCAATAAAGTGCAATTAAAATGAAAAAAAAAACAATAATCAAGTAATTCAGTCAAAGTTAAAGCTCAATTGCATAAATAAAGCTGCTAAAATTCCATTTGTAATATTTGTGATCTTTATCTTCTAATAACTTCTGAAAACTATTTCTCGTTCCCTTATCGGGATTACATTTATGACATGTGTAATTTAAATATCGATGTAACGAATGCATTTGTATATAAATATTTGACGCAATTCATTAATTTATATTATTTTTTTCTACATATTTCATTTAAAAGATCTCCACCAGCATCGCGTAAATTTTCAACTGGAAATGCAGGAAATGTACAACCAAACAGTCATTTATCATCAACTACTACACGCAATACCAGAAGCCGAAGCAGAAGTCCTGCAGTTCGTAAGACATCAACAACTGTTCCCCCAACTGTTGAGTTAAATCAAGTAAGTTGATGAAAATCCTTTTTAAAATTTTGATTGAGATCTCACGTTTGATGTTTTAATTAGGAAAAAATACATTTGGTTGCCTCGCCATGCGTGCAACGTCGTTCGGTATCTCCAAGCCCAAAACGTGTGGTTGATATGAAAAGGAAACAAATTTCCTTAGATATGCCAGTTTCAACACATATTTCGTCTGTTCAAATTCCTATGTCACAATGTGATACTGAATCTATAAATAATAATAGTAATATAATAAGTGAAATAAAAGCAGTTAATGAAAACGTATCGAATGGTGCAACACCAAATGATGGTGCCAATAAATATGAAAATATCAGTGATAATGGAAGCGAAATCAGTGATGAAGGGTATCGCTCGCTTGGTCTAATTCAATCAAACAATCCAAAAAGAATTTCATTACATAGTCAGGCATCGAATGAGGACGCAGATACAAATGGTAAGATTTGAAATGAATATATTTTGTGTTAATCAAACTAAAGTTAAATAAATATCAAATAACATAGGACGTCTAGACCGAAATTCGCCTGATATAACAACAACAGCGAGTGAAGAAACAATAACAGCTAGTGAAGAGACAACAATCAGTGAAATTAAAGTCGAGTCACCAATCTCAGATGACGTAATTGATCCAATCAAAGAGATGGAAACAAAATTTGCTAAATGTGGTATTACCATGAATGAGGATGAAATTAGTGTAGATATAGCATCCGCAACAGGCTTAAGAAAGACGGGATTCTCTGAAGTTTTGTACGAAGATAATCCAATTATTGCCGCACGAAAAGCAGCTTCCAAAATTCCCAAATCTCCAATGCTCACAAGAAGAAAAAGCATGGATAATTGTAGTACGATTTCAGCAACAAAAGAAGATACAAATTCGTTACGGAAAATTCCAGCGTATCGATCAGTACGAAAATCACAACAGCAGCTACAACAAATGCCGCAAAAAGAAAAAATTCTGTCAAAAGAAAATACATGGAACGGAAGATCTTCTGTATCGCCAACAAATCAAAGCAAGAAACGTCCAGCCTTAACTACTGACACGTTTAAATCACCTTCCAGAACTGCATCACTTACGAGAAATACGCCAACGAGATCATCACAGCAATTGGATGGAAGAGCACGTCAACGTTCATCAACCAGAGCGTCATCTGTCAACACATCACCGAATAAATCAAACAGCATTAATAATAATATACAATCACAACTTGCTCAACAATTACTTGATGCTGCGGGCAAGGCAAAGAATGATGCACAGATATTAGGAAAGATTAAGCAAATCTTGAGCGATTATGCATCCAAAAATAAAGTTAATGGAGAATTTGACGACTTTACAACAACATGGGTCAACAATAACGGAAGTTTGGATACGACAGATGCTGTAACCATGAGAAATAACGGTTCACCAATCAAATCTCAATCAAAACGAAGCTCAAGTGTGTCAACATCATCTGACAGTAATCCTACAATTTCTGCTCGCGAAATGCCGACAATGGTTGTCTCTCCTCGTCGCATTGATAAAGGATTATCAAGAATACCAGCTCCAATTCGTAGCAATACTGGCCTATATTGACCGAGGTCTGCATCAGTAGTTCATTATGGTACTAACCAATAATTCTAGATGACAGCATTTAAATTTCAAAAACTCTTATCCTTTAAGAATATCATTAAATTATAGTTTCTTAAGGTGAGTATTAAACCCTATCATTAAAATATCAAATTCCCATTCTTGTACGATATTAATCCATTCTGACAGTCGCAAGTCTTAAGAATTAAAAAGAGAGGAGATGAATTAGTGAAAAAAAATCTTTATTTAAGTTTTAAAAAAATTCAATGGCAGTGCCAACAACGAGTTAAAACCACTTCTATACACAGATTATATTCAATAAGAATTCCAATCTCGTATTTGCTGCTATTGAGAGAACTCAATTAAGTCGAGATAAAAATCGACAACTAAGTTTGTGTATTGATAAATAATTTACTCCACAAATAAAATAATCTACACGGGAGACTGTGTCGTTATTAATCTCAATTAATTGACTATATAGTGTGACTAAATTATGTTACCATTGTCTCGATTTATGGCTCAATTGAGCACTCGAGCTAATGGGTGTAGCAAGTTTTTTTTGCTGCTGCTGCCTCTCTATCTCACTTAATTTTACTTTTAAGTTTTTTATTTTCTTCATTCATAAAATCATACCTTAATGCTTCGATGAGATCTTAATGTGCCATTTTCGCATGACTTTGAATCTGTTCTTTATGATATCCGCACACCTAGGTTGTCTTTAATCAAAAATGTATGTATATCGATTTTTTGAGAGGAGAATGGATTAATTTAACATTGGAAACTTGTTGAAGGTTTTATTAAAAGTTTTTGATTTGACAATTTATTGGATTTTTTAAAATTCAAATTTTAACGACTTTTTCAAATTTGAACTTTAAAGACTTTTTAATATTTAACCTTTACCAAATTTCTTAAATTTGAATTTTATGGTTTTTCAGTCTTAAAATCGAATGTTAAATTCCCAAGTCTGGAAAAATTCACTTGTCAATAAATATATTTCACTTTCAAGCCTACGCATGCATAGACTCAAAGTAATTAATTTTTTCCGTTCTCATTTTATTTTCTTCTTTATTCTTTTCACATTACAGATTATGCGAATGAAAATAAAAGCTTTTCCAATTTACAATGTCAAAAAGAAGAGGAAGAAGAAGGTGAGAGATTTATTACAAGCAACTCATCAACGACAGCATCAACTACGACTTTAGTTATCTCCTATAAAAAATATTGCATTTAAACGTACGAACTTACATGAAATGAAAAGTACAGATACACGACAGCATCAACATTTTTTTTAAAGAAAAAAAAAACAGAGATAATAATTATAAAAATTGCGACGTGCGTATATGTTTGTGCTGCAGTCTCAAGAAAGAAGTGCAGTTAAGTGAGTGATAAAATGGCATAATAGTATATGACATAATTCTTTCCGTTTCTTCATGAGAAACTGTCTGTCTGATCGTGAAAAAAAAATATAAGAAATAAAATCGAAACTGGAAAAGCTGCCCACAGAAATGGAATGGATGATCATTAATCTCATGCGTATAAGTACATCTATAAAACATGTGCAAACCCGTAAATGATAAGAGAAAAAAAAACTGTAATTAATTAGACTCATGTTGATTCTTTCGCAATTCAAATTTCCTTAATGTGAAACACAAAAGAATCGCCATAACAGGTACGAAAGACATCGACGGTCGCATGAGAAGCGAAATCGCTGCTATTTTTGTAACTCCTTTATAATGAATGAATAATAGCAATTTGTCAACTAAATGTTATAGCAATTTGTTTGTTCATATAGACTAGATAAGTTCCGAAGGTTATCGGAAGTTTCCCATTAAGTTGTTTAATTCGATTAAAGATATATAAATTTTCTACTATAGTAAGTTGATGATTATATTGGTTGTGTATAGATAGAAATGATGCAAAATTTAGATAGCTTTTTATTATAAAGACGTTTAGTATGGGAAAGATTAGGGTTGCTGTTGAGTTGGGTCCTCCCTTAAAATAGCCAACCCTATTTTCCTAGTTTATGAAATGAAAATTAGAAGATTGAAATGAATTGAGTGCTTTCCACTTTCTTTTGCACTGAAAGTTATAATAGTTTTTGTCAGGAGTGTATCCAGAAGTTGAGGGGGTTAAAAAAATTAAAAATGTTCCCAGTAAACAGAATATTAATGAGTAAGTTTTAAGCAAGTCTAAAAAATCACATAGACTAGCTTAAAGCTTGCTTAAAATAAACTCTTATATGGTCTGGTTACTAGGATGTAGAAAAGTAAAAGTATAAATTGATCAATTAAAATCGTAGCTAGTGAATAAAATTAAAGAGGGAAGCTGGATACACCTCTGACTCTTAATCCAATATCAATAATTAGTTTGGTGCTTTTTTATGACTTTAATTGATGATTATAGAATTTATAAGAAGGAGTAAAACAAGCAAAAGAATATGTACTGATTTTTATCAAGATTAGAATGACATTTTGGAGCTTTGAAATAAATATTTAAAAATATAAATGAAATTAAGTTGACATTATTAATAAATCTCTCTTCCATATTGAGAAAACCGTACACGCATATATATCCTATGTATGTTGATTAATTTAGTGGCTTATATAAAGCATTTCTTAAATTAGTTTCTATATAATCAAAATGAGAATACTGAATTTTCGCTTAGAAATAAAGAAATAAATATTCAGTGGATGCTAATTCATCCTGCAAATAAAATCAAAGGTACGCTGATTGTGAGAATTTAAGGAATTTCCTCTGAAAATCCTTAAAAATTTTCAAAACCTTACAAAAAAATTATAACAAAAAAATGAAAAACTAAATCAGGATTATGAAAAATAATGCCGTTTTGTAGTTAGTGATGTTAGGATTAATCAGTATATACCCCAATTTATGATTAAAACTTTTATAATTTAATTAAGATTTATTTCTATAAGTCAGAGTTGAATGTTTAAGAGATAAGTGTAAGCATTACTGACAGATGTAGCCTTATTCAAAGAACCTATGAATGCTTATTATAGTAATATATATTTTTTGATATAAAACATGAAGTAACACATGACAAAAAAAAATATTGTAGAATTGTGTAACCAATTTTATAGAAATAGAAATTTTAGATCATCTCAATTTTTTTAAATCTCTCTACAAATTTTTAAAACTTCAAAATAAATCCTTTTAAGAACTCTTATATCCATAACATAGCATTATAAATCGTGGAAAATAAATTTGAATGTTTTTGATGCAATACAATTTTGATTGTTCCAAATTTTAACTAGTTCTAGATTCACTTAAGGATTTTTGATAGATTTTTGTTACAACTTTTCTAAAAAATGATTAGTAAGATTTGTCTTATGGTAATTTGATTATTGTTTAACGGATTTTTAAAAACATAAAATTTTTGAAGCAAAAAAGATGCATATTTCGCTTTATCAATCGCTAAGATGCAAAAATCAATTTAAAAGATGCTAAAATAAAGCTTAAAATATTTTAAGATGCAATATTTTATCATTTATAGATGCAAAACTTTGCTTCAAAAAATGCAAAAACTTTGCTTCAAAAGATGCAAAAACTTTGCTTCAAAAGATGCAAAGCTTTCAAAAAATTCAACATTTAAATCTTTAAAACCCGTTAAATTATAACCAACAAAAAATGAAAGGCAGAAACGTTATCCAACTTTCTAGTGCTTAGTACCTAGTTGAAATTGAGACTGATTCGTACCCGAAAACTAGATGTTATACAGCAATAAGAAAAGTAAAAAATTAAAATTCTGTCAAAAGCAATGATTTGCGTCAAAAACATTTAACTTCATATTTCCTCGTTTTTAAAAAAACAACTCAAAGCTCTTCCTCCTGTTATATAATTATGCTAATGATAATTATTCATCTTATTATTAATTCAAGAATGTATACTAATTAATTTACACTTTAAGTTTCAAATTTGTTATGATTAGTGCAATTTTTAAATTTTTTAATTACCTAACCCAACATTACTCATTCTCTGCTTTATAATTTTATTCAGATTCTTTTACTTTTAAAACAATACATAAGTTGAAAAAGAACAAGATTAAATGCTAACAATTACAAACCTTTTTCCTCTTGATGCTTTAAAAAATGGAATTTTAAATTCAAAACATGTAACTGACGAAGAAGAAAAAGCAAAATTGTCAAAAGAACGTTTAATAAATAAAGGAATGAAATATTTCTAGAAAAAAGAGACAGTTCTTTGTATTCATTTTATTTGCCTTTGTTTTGATTCTGACTTTTCAGGAAAAAATAAGATAATTAGCAGCGTAAAAAAGTCCGATGACTTCTTTCAAAATTTGCATTTTATGTTTCTGGTTGACTGATTAACTTACTGGTAAGTAAAGAGTCTAAGCTGTAAAGACTAGCATGTGAAGATTTTTGAGTTTACAAAATTTTAACAGTTTTCAAAGATTTGAAATTAAAGAGGTAGTCAAAAATAATTGACAGATAAAAACTTTCGACAGGTTGCACTGTATTGAAATCAAAAATTCAATAATTATGGATCAAAGCTTTTGTTTCAAGCTTTTTAACTATCCAGGAGGTCAAAAACTCGATGGAACCGAACTAATAGAATAAATTTTAATGCTCTACGATGTCTGATAAAGAAAACACACTAAAATAATAATATTAAATCGGTGGGAATTTCGAATCAACTTTATTCCTATCCTGCTGTTTTCCTCTCCAAATTTTTATGGGTGTGTTGCATAGGCTGGACTGAACTATTCTGTTAAACTTAACATTTATTAAACCTAGATATATTTTAAAATGCAATATAAAGCATTTTTGGTTTTAATCATAGGAGGCTTTTTTCAAAAAAATATCGATTTTATATCTATATTAGCATTCTTTATCATTTATAATACCTAGATTTAATTTATAATGTAATTTAAAGCATTTTTGATTTTGATCATAGAAGGCTTTTTTCAAAAAAATATCTATTTTATATCTATATTAGCATTCTTTATCATTTATAATACCTAGATTTAATTTAAAATGAAATTTAAAGCATTTTTGATTTTGATCATAGTAGGCTATTTTCAAAAAATATCGAATTTATATCTATATTAGCATTCTTTATCATTTATAATACCTAGATTTAATTTAGAATGAAATTTAAAGCATTTTTGATTTTGATCATAGGAGGCTTTTTTAAAAAAACTATCGATTTTATATCTATATTAGCATTCTTTATCATTTATAATACCTAGATTTAATTTAAAATGAAATTTAAAGCATTTTTGATTTTGATCATAGTAGGCTATTTTCAAAAAATATCGATTTTATATCTATATTAGCATTCCTTATCATTTATAATACCTAGATTTAATTTATAGTGTAATTTAAAGCATTTTTGATTTTGATCATAGTAGGCTTTTTTCAAAAAATATCGATTTTATATCTATATTAGCATTCCTTATCATTTATAATACCTAGATATGTTATAAAATGAAATTTAAAGCATTTTTGGTTTTGATCATAGTAGGCTATTTTCAAAAAAATATCGATTTTATATCTATATTAGCATTCTTTATCATTTATAATACCTAGATATATTTTAAAATGCAATGTAAAGCATTTTTGGTTTTGATCATAGTAGGCTATTTTCAAAAAAATATCGATTTTATATCTATATTAGCATTCCTTATCATTTATAATACCTAGATATATTTTAAAATGCAATGTAAAGCATTTTTGGTTTTGATCATAGTAGGCTATTTTCAAAAAATATCGATTTTATATCTATATTAGCATTCCTTATCATTTATAATACCTAGATATGTTATAAAATGAAATTTAAAGCATTTTTGGTTTTGATCATAGTAGGCTATTTTCAAAAAAATATCGATTTTATATCTATATTAGCATTCCTTATCATTTATAATACCTAGATATGTTATAAAATGAAATTTAAAGCATTTTTGGTTTTGATCATAGTAGGCTATTTTCAAAAAAATATCGATTTTATATCTATATTAGCATTCCTTATCATTTATAATACCTAGATATATTTTAAAATGCAATGTAAAGCATTTTTGGTTTTGATCATAGTAGGCTATTTTCAAAAAAATATCGATTTTATATCTATATTAGCATTCTTTATCATTTATAATACCTAGATTTAATTTAAAATGTAACTTAAAGCATTTTTGATTTTGATCATAGTAGGCTATTTTCAAAAAAATATCGATTTTATATCTATATTAGCATTCTTTATCATTTATAATACCTAGATTTAATTTAAAATGAAATTTAAAGCATTTTTGGTTTTGATCATAGTAGGCTATTTTCAAAAAAATATCGATTTTATATCTATATTAGCATTCCTTATCATTTATAATACCTAGATTTAATTTAAAATGTAATTTAAAGCATTTTTGATTTTGATCATAGTAGGCTTTTTTCAAAAAAAATATCGATTTTATATCTATATTAGCATTCTTTATCATTTATAACAGTGTTGCATTCTGGCTATTTGTCTGGATCAGATAAATTCTGAGACAGAAATTTCTTCATAAAATCGATTCTACATGTAGAAAGAAAAAAACCATCTACATGTAGATTGTGTCTACATGTAGAATCTGTCTACATGTAGATTTAATGTAGATGTCTACGATTCTACATTCTTCTCTGATGTAGACCTGGAAAAAATGTAGAATTATAGACATCTACATCGAATCTACATGTAGACAGATTCTACATGTAGACACAATCTACATGTAGATGGTTTTTTTCTTTCTACATGTAGAATCGATCTTTATGAAGAAAGTTTCTTAGCTAGACAAAAACTATTGAAGAATCTACATTCTTCATCTAGTGTAGACATCTACATTTGCAACACTGATTTATAACGCCGAGATATGGGGTGTGTTTCAAAGGCTGGACTGAACTGTTCTGTTAAATTTAACAGAACTATTCTGATAAATTTTTTGGATTTGTTCTGTTAATTTAACAGAATTTTTCAGATTTATTCCGATAAGTTCTGTTAAATTAACAGAATATTTTATAGAACTCTTCAGTTATTTTATTTTTGCGATTCTTATTTGCGATTCTTATTTCTATGCTAGGTTTTACTTTTTTCCAAGACAGGTGCTGATCATCACCACTAATTGAATTAATAATTACATCATGAACATCATTCTTAAGCGCTAATCTTCAGCACTTTGTTAAAGACATTCAGAGGCGTAGTCAACGCGGGTTTTTGGGGTCAAAATCCTTTTTTTTTGGAGAAATTTCTGGCTAAACTCCAATCCACTTATTACATTTTAGCTTTTAAAGGAAGTCTAGGATTCTCTAGTTTCTTTGTTCAAACAACTGATTTTCATTCTTTAGAATTTTTACTATTTGGGTCAAGATTTGGGTATTTGGTTATTTGGGTCATAAAATTGTTAAAATTGTTCATGGAGTATCTTTTATAGGAAGCTGGATTGATTAGCTCAGAAATTTTTCAATCATTTGGGGTACGTTTTAGGATTTGGGTTTGACACCCATAGAAATGAGATTACTCATAATTACACTGTGAGTTTATTTATAAATATTTATAGATTTCCGGAATTATGATTTGCATGTGAGGATTTTAAGTCCAATTACAGTTTGTGTCAGGACTTATTAACCTCGATTGTCTTTATTTTATTTATTTTTTTTTTGAGTTATACAGGGAGTTATATTTGAAAATGACGTTTGAGCATAATTTAAATTACCTATGCATCGAATCATATGACGTGGGTTTTGTTCCTGATTGGTATCTGTTATTTAGGGCTTGAAGCTTAATTTACCCCCCTCTGTTACAAAATTTGTATGAAAAAAAGGTATTATGTGAACAGCCAGCCCCAAATCAAAATTTTTTTAATCTGCTGAGTTTAAATTTTATTTTTTTAGCGCATTTTTAAAAACTTGTTTTCAACTGCCCCGAGCAGCCGAATAAAGTGTATTATTAAGCTACCTTTTAGAAACAAGTTTCAAAAATGTACAAAAAATTAACAGAATTCTGATAAATAACAGAAGAGTTCTGAAAAATAATTGAAAATCGCAATTTTATTAACAGAACTTTTTCCACATTTATCGGAATTCTGATAATATTAACATAACAATTCCGATAAATAACAGAATTCTCATATAATTATCAGAACAGTTCAGTCCAGCCTATGCAACAGAAGCAATTTTTATTATCTTGACCACTTATTAAAATGTCAGACTCCACCCTCTCCTTAAAAATTTATAGACTACAACCCTTCTAAATCAACCCTGACATTGAAAGAGAAATCCAATTTTCTAAGACGAAAAAATTAACCGTTGAAAAGCTGTAAACAACAGCATAAACTAATTTCTGGTTCGAAAAATTTTTGACAACAAAGAGACGACTTTTTTCAAGGTCTTTTAAGTTTCAGCCTTGCCATATTTGGACACATCAATACTTCAGTATGCTTCTCAACTTTTTTTTGACACTCATTGTATGTTTTTTTTTTTCACCAAATACACATATGCGCAAAATATATACTCTATAGCCGGCGGGCATAAATTTTAAATGTTTATTTTTTCGGAAGTTCTTCTTGGCAATAAAAAGCCGGTGAGTTGGAACGTTGATTGTTGACAATTACTTAATATGTATCGTGTAGAGAATTTGATGTTGTTTTTTATATAGCGCCATAGCGTTTACAGTACTTTTTTGTCTCAAATTAAGAATCGTGTGATGTGTGTATAACCCACTTCTGTCTTTTCCACTTTAATAGAGAATATATTGTGCAATTACATAGTTGGCACAAAGTCATGCTTTAAGGTATTTGGATATTCGCAGCTAAAGCGCATTTTATGGATTAGACAAATTTTAACGGTTTAGTAAAATTCGAAATTTATCCTCACAAATGAAGTTCAAAGTTTAAAATTCACTGAATTCAAAATTTAAAATACCGTTAAAATTGATCTTACTCAATAAATCCAAAACTTGTCATCAAAAATTCTATTTGTAAGCAATTTATTCATCCAAACTGCACAAAAGACCACATTTCACTAGCTACAAGTGCTCGAGATAGAGAACAATTCTTGTGGCAGCCTCTATCGGCAATCGAATCACAAGCATGTGTGAAAATTGATGGAATAAATGCTAGCAATTGACAAACAATGAAATGTATTGAAATAGCATCATGTCAGCACTATATAAATGGCCATAAACAGTTACTTCCATAACATAGA